TATCTATCTATCTATCTATCTATCATCTATCTATTGAAAAATTAAAGGCAGGGAGATCTGGAGAACAATAAGTTTGGGAGTCTTCTCAGAAGTCAGTGTTATCTAAAACCTTTAGATGAATACTTCAGTTGGATTCATATTAACAGATTAACAGAGCTGGAAGGGACCTTGTAGGTCATCTAGTCCAACCCCCTTCCCAAGCAGGAAACCCTACACCATTTCTGACCGATGGCCGTCCAGTCTCTTCTTGAAAGCTCCCACAATTTCTTTTTCCATCGGTTGATTGCGTTTTCAGAAAATTCCTCCTTATTTCTAGGTTAGGTTGAATCTCTCCTTCATCACTTTCCATCCAGGGTTAAGTTAGTTTGATTCAAGTTTTGGTTTAGGCAGCAGGTTTTTGGGGTAGGTTGCACAGGAGGGTCTGAAGTCTACTTGGGTTGTTGCTTGTCGGTTTAGAGCTTTGTTACTACACGCACACACACATACACACACACACAACATTGCAAGAGCAGATTGTGTGACCTGGGTTTCCTCCTTAAGCCAGGTGAAGTTAGCTAAGATGGTCAGTTGGCCCGTGGCTGCTAGCGGTTGTATCTCCTTAGAGAAAATTGCAAATTTGCAAGGCAAATAACACCCCTTTTGCCCCCTTTCAAGAAACTGACAATTAGGGAGAGAAGGAGAGCTACACACACACATACACACACACACAGACACACACGAACCAGTGTGTTGACTCATTTTGTGGCTGAAGAAAACCTCCGTTTGTGATTTGAAAAAGAAAGCTGTTTGGACTCAGGACAAAAAACGTTGTTCTGTATTTCCTTTCTGCACTGCCCTCCCCCTCCAAAAGGTTTTTAAAAAACCCCAAATCCAGAAATATCCGCAGTGTCTGAAAGGGCTCGATTGTTACGCGGTGGGGCATGCTGTGCCTACCCACACCACTGCACACGAGAGTGTGTAGGGGTGTGCTTGTGTACTACGCACATCTCCCCCCCCCCAGGACTCTGTGACCTCAAAAGCCGGGCGCTTGACAGTGGGGAGAGCGTGCGTTGCGCCGCAGGGCGACTGTTGGCCTCGGCGGGAGATGAATCACACACCAAGGCTGTGTAGCCAGCGCTGCCGCCGCCGAAGGTTCCCGGTGACGAGAGCCGGTGGTTTTATAGCTCATGACTCATCTCGCGGGCTGGTTGACGGGCGCAGAGCTGGGGCCGTGTTATTCCAGGAGATTGCAAAATCATAACAGGAATGTCGTGGCGAGTCCACGGCTCAACGATGCAAATCCCCAGGAAGCCATTTGAGCCGGAGAGCGTGAAGCACGCCACACGGGGATGGCCGAGCGATGAAGAGGCCTCGGGCACCGCAGGCAGAAGGGACACGGGTAGCGCTGGAGTCCCGGGGAGGACAGGCCTGGGAGGTGAGCCGGGTCCTGAGAGAATGAAAAGGAAGGAGGCGCACGGGAAAACAAAACAAAAAAACATTTGGCTGGGAAGGAAAAAAAAAACAAAACTCCCCCAAAATTCCTTCCACCCTAATTGTTTTTTTTTTTTTTTGCGCCCCCTCCTTTCACCGGAAGAGGCAAGGGACACCCTGTCCTTTACTGACCCAGAGAAGTGGGGCGGGTGGGTTCTGAAAAGGACTGGTTGAAGGCCCCCCCCAAATGATGGAGAGGGGGGGACCCAGCTTCATGCAAGGTACTGTACGGGGAACCCCTCCAAATACGCGGGAACGAACCCTACGCAAAGTCTTCCTCCCGTCTCCAATTCACCCACCCTTCGTCTCCCCCTCCCAAAAGCAGACCTAGGCAGAAGTGGAGGGAAGGCGCTGTAAAGGCGTACTTCCCCTCCCCTCCGCTCCCCTCCCCTCCCCATCCCTCTGGGGCCGGCCAAGAGAGCTTGGAAGCGCTGGGGCCGTTGGTACCTGCCAAGAACAGGTCCCAAAGAAGGGGAAACAAAACAGCCGAGGAACAGTGCCGCCCGAAGCACCGTGTCCCCGGCCACACGCTCCACGCACTGTTTACAGGAACCCCTGCGCTCTGGAAGGGGGGGGGGTAGATAACTTATCGCACTGGGCTGGGGTTGCCTTGGTGATGGAAAGAAGAGCGGGTGGGGGAGTTTGCCTGCGGTGCCCTGGTGTTGAGCTTGCACAATGGGGTGTGTGTGTGTGTGTGAGGGGGGGAGATGCTGAATGCCCAGGGCGGGGGAAGCAGAGCTGCGCCACGCACGGGATGCCACAAGAAACCAGAGCAAAGGTCAGGCGGTGTTTATAATTTATGTGCCGCCACCGCAGTGGAAGGGAGAGAGAGAGAGGGAGAGAGCAGAGAGCGGCACGGTGCCAGCGGCTGCCAGGCATTCAAAGTTAGGGGAGGAAGATTTTTTTGGGACCTGGGAGGGGAGGGGAACGGGGGGGAGGGCAGCCCTGCGGCAGCAACCCAGGAACAGGGAGGGGTGGCTACGCAGGCAGGATTGTTTGCAACCTGCAGGGCGAGGAGGGAAAAGAAAGCAAGGACGGGAATCCAGATTGGAGCGCTTGCTGAGTTTGGGGGGGCGGTGGGCCGAAGCCGATTCTCCTCTTCCTCTTCTGCAGGGCACCAATGGCGGCTCCCTTGGGAAGGGATCCCCGGGAGGCTATCCAGCCCATCCCCGCTTGCTCGGGGCCAGCAATCCTGAAATGTGGGGGCATTCTTGGGCCTTTGCCAAGTTTGCACATTTTTCCCCTGCGTGGGTTTGGAGGAGGGCCACCTGTGGGGTGCCTGACTCATTTAGGCAGAAGTTCACCAGGCTGGTGCTAGGAGAAAAGAGGTTGGTAGGGACACAGCCTGCCAAGCCCAACCCCAGAGATGCAGAGACAATCCCGGTTCTCGGGGCTGTGAGAAACAGGAAACGTGGTCCTAGTTTGGTTCCTCTTTGTGACGACAGGTAGTCCTCACTTTGCAACCGCAACGGAGCCCAACATTTCTGGGGCTAAGCGGGACATTTGTGAAGCAGGCTTTGCCCCATTTTACGACTCAATGCAGTGGTTTTTAGTTAGTAACGTGGTTCTTACGTGAATCTGGCTTTGCTTTTCAGAAGGTCGCCAAAAGGGACCGTCATAAATATGAGTCAGTGGCCAAGCGCCTGAATTTTGATCACGGGACAATAGGTCGTAAGTGTGAAAAACGGTCATAACTCACTGTTTTCAGCGCCATTGTAACTTTGAACGGTGACTCAAGGGATTGTTGTAAGTCGAGGACTACCGGTACAGAGTTGGAGGAGGACTAGGCAGAGTTTCATCTCCTGCCGTGGCTGCTCACTGGCCTACCTCGCAAGGATGTTATGGAGATAATAATAGAAAGGAGTATCCCAGATGCCTGGGGGCCAAAATGGCTAAGTCTAAATTGAATGGATAGTGGCAACTTTATCCTATACGGGCAGATAAATAATTTGTGGGGGCCCTTTAGCTGCAACTATCACTAAACAGGTGAAATCAGAGTGCATGGAAACCGAACAAGGAGAGATTCAACCTAGAAATAAGGAGGAATTTTCTGACGGAGAACAATCAACCGATGGAACAGAAGTTGCCTTCAGAAGTTGTGGGAGCTTCATCACTGGAGGCTTGCAAAAAGAGACCGGACTGCCATTTGTCAGAAATGGTGTAGGGTCTCCTATTTGGGTTGGGGGTTGGACTAGATGACCTAAAAGATCCCTTCCAACTCTGTTAATCTGTATCAGTATCCATGATGATCAAAGGCCTGGAGGCTAAAACATACAATGAACGGTTGCAGGAACTGGGCCTGGCTAGTCTAGGAAAGAGAAGGATCA